AAAAGATGTAACGGATTGACTCGCTTTATTGGTATTTTTTTCATGTATTTTAAATTTCAAATTTGTTTCTATTTTTAATATAATTTTGCTAATATTAATTATTTAATTTTGTTTTGCATATAATAAGTCACACAAAAATTATTTATCGACAGATCGCAAATCTATTATAAAAATTCCTAAAACAGATTCATAGAGAAATTTTTGTTATGGCACGCGGATCTTGATAGATTATATGAGTAAAGTACAGGTGGTTTGATGCTGAATGTAAATAATAAACGGTTTGACCTAGAAGTGCAAAAATTTATCCAGAACTGTACAAACTCGTGTTACAAAACTTTCGGTTTCAGGCGAACTTGTTTTTATTATCAAATGATTTGGCGTTTTAATATAAATCTCCTTGTTTTTTGAGATATATTATTTATAAATATGTAAAGGTTATTCAGAATATTTTGATTATACCCCTAAAAATTGCATATATGTTCGTACAATCATTCAATTTGGTTAAAAAGCAAATTGTTTGGGAAATAGAAATCCGGTTGTACTTCTATAAATGAATCATACGCATATGCAACGGATTTGGATTTAACGCCAAATTCTTTATTGCTACTTCATTATAATCATACAAAGTTATGAATATGTATAATATTGTCATTAAATCAGCTTATAAACTTGTTCTTTTGGTAGTGATTTTTCAAGTTTGCTAAAAAAAAAAACTTGCAAGAGCTTAAATCTAACCTTTTTTTTAAAAAAAAATGCGTCATGTTAACCAAGCTCTTCCATATCAGGACTTTATAGCAGGTTATGATATACAATCCTAAGGATTGTGTATTGGATTCTTACAAAAATTATTAACATAATTAACTTGCTCCTAGCTTGTTGTTATATACTTCAATAAAAATATAAATATGATCAAAAGATTTCGTTGTGTAAAAGATATAAATTGGAAATTGTTTCCTTTTTAAATTTTCGAAATTATGACCAAAATCTTTTTTGCACTTTCAGATATAATGCAGACAAATCGCATTTACAATCAAACTTCAAATAATTTACCATGCGTACAACCCCATTCACCCTACTTGCATGACATTTTCGTTGTGACCAAATATGATTTTATTTATGGAAATGCTCCAGTCATCTGTGAAGAAATAGTACCATTGACTGTTGAATCTGCAATCAACTTTTTAAGTAATTCCGATGATGAGAATAACATTGTCAACACATTTTATTATATTCATCCATTTACCATGAAGATTTTTAAAGTAACGCTTGTGTTCCAGTGTGTAACACAAGTGCGGGGGTTTTCTAAAATAGACCAAGAACATATTAAATCGTGTTTAACTCAACTATTTGGCTCTCAAAATAGTGGTGAGAACTATTTTGTTAAGTTTTAGCAAAGATTTTGTGAATCGATCCTGGTTGGTTTTAACTATTTTACTAACTTAAAATTTTACCCCCTTTTTTAAAAATAAAAAAATTCTTTTAGCTAAATGTAAATGGGAGGGAGAATCCACTAAAGTATTGCTTTTTTATTTGACTGAAAATAAAGAAGATGTACTGCTGCTAGAATGTCGAGGTTCGAAAGCTGGTAAAGTTAGAATGTCTCTATGGAATGGTGCCGTCACTGCATTATTAAATAAAGGTTACACTTATACCGCTGAACAATGTGCGACAAAATGGAAAAATATTAAACAGAATCATGATGTAAGAGTAAAATTTGATAAAAGAAGGGAATTACACATTTTTTTAATAATTTGTTTGTTTATTTATTATTTTTTTTTGATTTAGAAACCACCTAATTTTCAATATAGAAACAAAGTTGAAGTAATTCTAGGCAGGGATAGGTTGAGGTTTGTAATAATATTATAAGCAGAAATTTGGATATTAATGAGATTATGTCAAAAGATTTTAATGCATTTACTAATGAAATCCCCGTTATAGCAAACGAACGATGGCTAAACGCCACAAAATATCTAGGAATGGATACGCGGAACGTTTTTATGCTAGGTCTAATGTACTGTAAATAACATAATTTGAGCAAAATGACGTAATAGCATCCGTAAATTTGGCTTAAAATTTAACAAAAAAAAAAGTTTGTACCTAATGACGATTGTAAATAAAAATTTATAAACTAAAATCCCGTAGCTTCAAATTTTTTTTTTTTTAATCACTTTATGTGAAAATAGTTGTGAATATAAAGGTCGTTTCATACACTCGAACCTTTTTTAACCTGATATTTATTTTTAGCGACTAATTAATTGTTGACGATCGACATTGCATATAAATAACCTTAATTAATTTAAAGTTATTTATAATTTTTAATTATTGGTAAATAGTTTAACTTTATTCAAGTTTTTTTTTTTTTAAAAAAAAAAACCATATATATATTGTGTGGCGCAATTTCTGCACATCAAAATGTATAGAACAAAAATTAAAAAAGGTTAAATACTACCGTCAAAGATGCATTTTTAATATGTAACATTAACTCAAATCAATCGGGTTACATAATAGTCTGGTCAGGTGAGTTCGGATTAGACTTGCACCAGAGGATGACAGAATATGGTTGATTAATTTTCAAAATTTTGGCCTGATTTAGGATTTGCAATCATCGTAATGCTGGCTGACATTAAGTTTGGCCAGAATTT